TTATTATTATTATTATTATTATTATTAATTAAATATTTATGTTTCTTTTCACTTCTAAATAACACTTAGTTTTATGATAATGAAATTATTATTATTGTTATTATTATCATTTATTTGCTTGTTTGTTTACTTTTCTTCATTACTGTGTTTTCCCAAGAAATTTCCTGTAATTTATTTTTGACTTATAATGTGTTTGTCTAATGTATGTATAATGTTACACGTAATTACTTTCATCTACACTGTGCTAAGTCTGTAATTGGCCTTGCGGCTGTTGACTTGGCACATAAATAATAAAGAATTGAATTGAATTATTATTATTCATGTGATACAATTGCCTCGTTTTTGTATTCTATTTGTGTCTTTTGTTTCCCTTCTTTACAGTTGCTTAATTTGTAATTAGCTTCTGAGCTGTTAAGTTATCACGCAAATAAGTAAGAATTCAATTAAATTACTTTTTTATGATTATCATGGTTATTACTTTTCTTTTTGGTACTGGTGATAATGATACTGTCACTTATCCTGGTAACGAGATAGGTAATTAATTCGTTCCTGATTAGATGAATCGATTTATTGGATATTCACCAGGCGGAACTACAATTAGTTGTAACACAATATTACTGTAACTGCGAGCAATGATGACACTCTAAAAGTTACTGTAATTACACCACATAAAACAGAGACTTCACTTTTGACTTCTTCCTCTGACTTCCGGTTCTGGCTTATGTCTCTGCCGTCTTCTGTCTTCTGTTGGTCAGTTCTCTCCCTGAGGTAGGTTTTGGTTGAACCGTATGGAGATCACTTCCTTCAACAGTTGACTTATCACATTGTTTGCTGCTACTGTGTTTTGGAGGTTCGTTGCCGTGTGAACGGAAACTTTTCTGTATGCGTTGTCTAGGACTCGACGTGACTCTGTATGCAATGCATTGCTTCTTCAGTCGTATTCGTTGCTATGGAAACGTGTTCCAACAGTTCGCCGTCCAGCAGCGGCGCCGTCCGTGTTACCACGGGAGTTCCGCCCAGCCGATGGACAGATTGTAGATTTCGGGCGTCATGTCACAATATGATGAGGAAAAACTTACTATGCTGTTGTAGGTAATTCCTATTTTTAATTTTAGACTTACGACCTGAGAATGTTCCGTGTGTCCCCGAAATTTTACTACTAGTTTAGGTAAACGTAATTACAAATATATAAATTTTTAGTTCAAAATCTTTACGGGAATAGACTATTTGGGTGACCTGGCCATAGATAGAAGGCTAAATTTTGTATTTATCTTACAGATAAATTCGCTGGTCTAGAAACCCGAAATCAACGTCCTTGGGGATTCGTTGCGCTGACCACGCGAGACCCTTTATCAGCTAAAGTTGGAACTAACTTCGCAGACAAGCGGTGGTTGGTTGGTCGGTCGGTATATTTCGCTTGTGGGCTAAAGCTAAGGAGTTCTTTTTACAGATAAATTCTGTCTAAAAATATCTGATTTTATATCATAACTCGAGTAAACAGCCTTAGGCTGGGAAAGCACTGTGTTCAACGAAATATCTGATAAGGTAATTTCGATTCCAATTGTATGTCAAAAATGGAAAGTAGTAACTTTCTAATGGCCGATCACAGTGACCGCTCAATGAAATTCTAAGATTAAGAAACTGACATGAAACAAACGTTTAACGGATGCTCTGTGCTCCAAATGGGAACAGAAGAAGAAGAGAAAAACTTTCTAATGGTGACATAGTAATCTACATCACCTTCTAATGAGATATCTTCAAAGATATGTTAGACAGTATCTGCCTTAGGATGTACACTGGAATCTTCTATGTCATGAAAAGGTCCAGTGGTTTGCTCTTATGAACACGGAAATAGAACTTCAAGTTCCATAAAGGCCAAGCAGTATTTTTACTGACTGACTGGCTATCCGCTTCTCAAAGGGGACTCTGCTGTATGTCAATTTTATAACTAAAAGCAATCTGAAATCCCAAATCTCTCCCTTAAGCCTCTCTTAAACTTCTCGTCCATTCCTTCATATAGAGCCTTATTTCATAAAACTCATTATACAGTAGGATGTTTGTAAAATGTATCGAGATGTGTTACAAACTCAAATCGTCTACAGTACAGTACCTGAAAGAGCAGCCACGATTTGTAGGAACCTGCTGCTTATCAGTTCCACAATCTTCATTTCCGTCTGATTTGAAGCTTAGTGCGCATGAATATTGAGCAGCTTTCTGAAAGTATAAATCGGAGACTGAAATAACATATGAAGAAATTGATATGGTGTATTAGCTCAAGACCAAGACAAGCGAGTCTGGATAAGGCCACAAGCTGCTGGCACAAGTGAAACAAGTTATGAAACGTATACATGGCGTAGAATAACTGTCCCTGCTTCTTTGTTACCTTATTGCCTGGTGTTAAAGCATTCACTTTTAAGAGAATGAACAGAGAATTGCTTGCAAGACCTCCAAATTGAAGGTCATTAACGAATAATGGGTCTGTCCTTAAAGAAGGCAGACGATTTAGAACCAAGGATCAAGTAAGTAGTTAGTTAGTTAGTTATTAGAGAGGGCGGGTTTCCCCATGCACTTAGACCTGTAGTGGTCCATTGTGCTTCCCTCTATGATTTCTACCAGTCTCTATATCCTACCGGTATTGGTGCTTACCATCAGTCCCACCCAGCCAGCGAGACCGCCTCTACTGGCTGAGAAGTATCTATAAAGCTTCCCCCATCTACCGGAGGTGTTAATGACTGCTGCTGGGCGGGAAACGTCCGCAATTTGGCTCAGTGACCTCCTTTGGAGGTATGAGGTTCTTTTACGTGCCGTAAAGCTACGACATGGGACCCACGGCTTAAAGTCCCTCCCGGAGGACTTGTTCCCTGAATTTTTCCGCCCTTAAAAATTCGACGACCTCCGCCGGGTATTTGAACCGCGTACTACGAGTCATGAGGTGGGAACGTTACCTCTAGACTACGGAGGCCGCTTCAAGTAAGTAAGTAACTCTCTTATAAATATTGTAAAGCATGGCACCAGAATAAACAAAGGTCATGAGAAATGTATAAGTATAGAACTATTCAGATACATAAATTTATGGTCGCACGCGACTTGGAACAATCACTATCTTAGCCACTTCCATATCACTTCCCAGAACTGTATTTTTAACTACCCATCTTTCCCAGCCTGTAAAATTGGAGAAATGGTAACCCAATAGTGCCTCCATTTTGGTAGAAATAGAAACTAGTGAAATGCTATATTTGGAGCATAGCTCTGTATGGGGCTGAAACATGGACACTTAGGGCAGTAGATCAGAAACATCTGGAAAACTTCGAAATGTGGTGTTGGAGAAGGATGGAGAAGATCAGTTGGACCGATTATGTGAGAAATGAAGAAGTGTTAATTAGAGTCAGTGAGCAGAGGAATATCCTACACGAAATAAGAAAACGGAAGGCTAATTGGATTGGTCATATTTTACGCAGAAACTGCCTTCTAAAAGAAGTTATTGAAGGAAAGATAGAGGGGCGGATAGAAGTGACAAGAAGACAAGGAAGAAAACGTAAGAAGATGCTGGATGACCTTGGGGACAGAAGAGGATACTGTCATTTGAAGGAGAAAGCTCTAGATCACATTAAGTGGAGGAATTGTTTTGGAAGAGACTGTGGACCTGTGTTCTGACAGATTACTGATGATGATGATGATGATGATGAGAAGCATTGTCCGGTTACCCTCCAACAGGTGGAGACAGCAGGTTCCCCTGATACTTCGGTAAGTACGAGCATATACCATATCCTATCGTAGTGTCTCCGTGTCTACAAAACGAGGAGCGGTGGAGTGGTTAAACTGAAGTTCTGGGAACACTAATATGAAAGTGGGGGGTTTATGCTCTTCGTCCAAAACAGAAGTTCTTACCTATCAAATTAGACGTCTCTCATTCAGAAGACTGCAATCTTAATAACCACACCCGTGAGAAAATATTAATTACAATGTAAGGAATTACCACTGTGAAAACCAATGTGTCGCAACGGCTTCAGTGTGGTCGATAAGTGAGACGTGATATGTCGCCAATAGGAACATCCGTGGGTGATTCTAATAATACTAAAATATACACAATTGTATCAAACACATTTTTGTAAGAAGTGTTTTGTTTTTGCTCTGGTGAGGGAACGAGTATTTTGACAAAATGATTTCTGGGATGAAAAATGCAAAATATCGCTCATCGCTAATGAAAATTAAGAAACTGTCTATTAAATAAGGAAGTATATACAAAACGAATGTTTCACTATAGGATTACTACATACTGTTAACGAAGATTACTCACCTTAGGTTCTTTAGGCGCTATTTTGCCTGCCAAACTTCAATATAGGATTCTGTAAGATTATCAGAAGACAGATTTCCTATCCTCTTCACAAACTTAGTTTGAATCTACATTTGTTAGCGGACTTGCAACAACTAACATTTCCAAACAGACACTCGAAATGTGTATTGAAACTGTTAATAACACGTTTAACTTCGGGACAAGACAAAGGCGATAAACGCAAAGGTGGGGGAGAAAGTCAAAGATAACCTTCTGTATACCAGCTGACGTCACAAAAATAATCCATATGGATCAGGTACCATTAACCGAGTTATGTGTTCGTTGAACATATTATGTACTTCTGCAAACAGAAATATAACGACTGTGTAATGCTTGTAAATTTACTTTATATCCAGTGAGTTTATAAGTTATACGCTGCAATAGGCTTACCAGTAATATGCCAGACTCTGAAAGTAAGTAATTTTTTACTTCTAGTTGAATGCCATGAAAGAATTCATAAGTGTTTACAAATTTGAATGATAAATGCTACAATTATTCTTAATTTTAGATCATAATATGTAGGAGAGAAAATTGTCATTCTTATGTTAATGTTCTGTCTGCAAAATATAATAAGGAGAAGGGAGCTTCGCAGCATTTGTATTTTACCAAATATTATTAGGGTGAAGAACTCAATGCGAAAGAGTTGGGAAAGAGGCGTAATGCCCACCGGAGAGATGGGAAATGCAAACAGAATATAGTTAAAAAAGATAAACCGAAGAGGCTAATCGAGAGAATTAAACATAGATGGGAGGATAATATTAAAACGGGTCTTAAGCAAATATAGTTTGAAAATGTTCTCTGGTTATAATCCACTAGTGGGATCCTTCCAAGACGGCGAATTTATAATTACACATACATTACATTTTATTCCATAGATCCAACGTTAGTTAAATGACTGTAGGGTGTGGAACATGTCATATAGATGCAAATAATGTCTAAAAACAGCAACAACAACAATAGTTTGCACATAAGGTTATTCAGAGATGCAGCCGAATACATTTCTGGTTCTATAGAAGCGGAAATGTTCTAAATCAACTAGACAACTATCAGCGTCCCAATAAGGTCTCTGCTGCGTGCTGTTAGTATGCATACTCAGCTGAACACTGGGTTCGACCCGTGTTAAATATCATTCTCATTATTACAAGAATTAACAATTTTCATACGAAATTAAATGTAACCTGTCAAGTCAGAGTCATGGTCTCTGATGCAGAGGTAAGACTGTAGACTGTTGTTACCATTGTTTGCTGTTTAGTGGGTAGAGTTCTTTCTTCGTATTCGAGAGATGCCAGACAGCAGGCGTGCTATCTTGACTCAGGTTTTCGGTGGTATTCCTCAGTGCACTCGGGAATTTATTGGATTAGTGCCTACAATAGACAACAATCGTCTCTTTCAAAATACTTTCCCATTCATCATTCACAATCTCCTATCATCCACATTATGTAACATATCAGTTGAAATATAGTCGTTATATAACACAGATTCGGTCACTGACGGAGGAAGTTTGAAAACAAAATGGGAAGAAATATTTGGTCCTTAGCATGAGGAAGAAAGAGGAGACCGAAGAAAATGGCACAGACCTAATGAGGAGCTTCACGTTTGTACTGTATGCCTGACACTCTATGGATTGTTAGCGAAAGAATAAGATTGGCAGATCACAAAGCACGCCTGGTGAAAACCTCGATGAAAGAGGTCTCTTGAGAGATTCAGACATAGATGGGACACTGTCGTAAATAAATATGTTACAGAGTTGTTGACTGGATTTGACTGCCTCAGGACAGGACGTAATGGTGAACTTCTGTGAACATAATATGAACTTTTATGTTCCATAAAAGCGGAGAATTTACGGACCAGATGGGCAACTAGAAACTGTTCAATTCTGACAATGCAGCGTGGAATTAGGTAAGTGAAGCCATAAATACTGAAGGTAAGGTTAAAGCTGCCCTTATCTTTAAGCAGGGCGTCTTGAGTCATTGAAGGAGACAAATGTAAAATTTCGTGTAATCAGGATCTAGGCTATTGATGAATATGAATGGTCAATCAAACTTTCCAGCGGCAATAGCCTCAAATATTTATTGAATATTATGTTGAGTGGATGTATTGGTGTTGAAAAGAAAAAAAGCTATAATCCCCCATCGGATATCCTGTTTAGTTTTCCGCGAAAATTTTAACAACCTTATGCATTTACCTTCTCCACGCCTACTATACACCCTCTCGTCCAATTGCTTCTCAATTTTGTTGTTCTTTGTAACATGTTTATTATTGCAGATTTGCCCCCAAAACAATAACTTGCCATGTCATGTCAATTTATAGTTACTACGGAAATTATAATCGCATTTTCACGTGACCATACGTAAGCCCTCACTGAACATACTATGTTTAAGTAGTTTCTGATAACCATGTTATCTAATCAAGAAATAACTGCAGGTTCGGTAGAGATAAGAACCATTTGGCTTTAGCTATTTGTTTAGTTGTATTTAACGTTATGAATAAACCAATGTAAGCATTATACCACAGAGCTCTAAGTTATTTACACAATGTAGTCAAGGCTGCCTATTGTATTAGAGTTCCAGTCATCTCAAATGCAATCCGCTTCTTTATTTTCATCATTATGTTTGCCCATGTACGTATTTCCTTTCGGCATCCGAATCTGAAGGGTTCTCATTACATTCTTCTCCTTTAACTTATGACGGCGTGTCCTCACTTCTGGGTTTCATGACTTCCTCGGATGAAGTGAAAACCACTCTTTTCTCTTAAGTACTGGAGATTTACCTTTGATTTCAAGGACGACGGAAGCAATTTATATTGTACCAAGTGCAAAACACGGCCGCGCCATAGCTCAAGCTGTTAGTCGCTGGCTTCCCACCGCGGCGGCCCGGATTCGATCCCGTGTCTGGTCAAGTGGGATTTGTGGCGGGCAAAGTGGAGCTGGGGCTGGTTTTCTCCGAGTACTTCGGTTTTCCCTGCCAATCTTCATTCCACCAACTGCTCCATCTGGGGCTGGTACAATAGGCCAGAAGTGGCCGCAGTGCAAGGGACTTAGTCCCACAACACTAGCAATAAAAAAGGTGCAAATCACAGAGAAAAATGTCCGAGAGAATAATATATTCCATAATAAAAGTTCGACCGCCTCTGTGGTCCAGCGGTCAGAGTTCCTGCCTACAGATCCAGAGGTCCGGGTACGATTCCCGACGCTACGAGGTTTTCTGAGAAATAGGGGGTCTGGAACGGGGTCCACTCAGCTTCATGAGGATAATTGAGGAGCTACTTCAAGGAAATAGCGGTTCCGGTCTAGAAAACCGAGATTGACGGCCGTGGGGATTCATTGCGCTGACCACGCGACACCCTCTATCCTCTAAATTTGGTACTAACTTCGCCTAAAAGCGGCGGTCGCTCGGTCGGTATAGTTTTTTGCGGACCACAGGCCACAGAGTTTGTTCTTGTTTAAGAAAAGCTCGCCACTCGACGCACCTTACTTGCTGTATATAATCCCTCGCAATGGTCCTATAGATGCAGTCAGCCTCTTCGTCCCACGGGTGGGGAACAGTTTTCACCTTACGGCTCTGGCATAAAGGCCCGATCCAGACACTACGCTATAAATAGAAAAAGAGACCAAGAAATTTAGTCCAGTATTTTGAAGATCAGCTTTCTTTATGGTTTAATGTAAAACAGATGTAGAATCCTTGAATAGAAAGTAATAAAAATCCATTGAATGTAAAAACGAAAGAAGAGGTTTTCGACCAAACCTGCAAATAACTTTGAGTCAAAAGTGCTAGTCGGTAACTGAGCTCCCCCCGCAAAATCAGTGCTGTTAACCTAGAATCTGAAGAACTTTCAGTTTCCACGAAAATATGTTCAACATAAAACAGAATCGCCATAACAACACTGAAATGTTGCAAAAATACCAAAACCAAAACCATAAACCTTAATTTCCTTCTTCGTAGTCAGTATAGCGACTGGCTAGCGACAGTATAGCGACCGAAAGGTCGAAGTTCCAGTCCCGGTAGGGTCAATAATTTTTGCTTCTCTTCCAGGCCGGCTTTGGGGCCCACCCAGCCTCCCATCCAATAGTTACTGGGGGCTCTTTCCCGTGGAATATATTTACCGAGGTGTTGCTCAGAAACGGTCGCTTGTTTATTCGTCTATTGCATAGCAACGGATATACTCGGTGTTTGTTTCAAGGTCTTTGCCTAGCAATGGGTCTATACGCCACAATATTGTCAGCTGCTAAGATGCTGAGAGACAAAACACGCTGAGGTCGTTTCTCGCTGTCAATTTTAACCCTCGTGAAACAGAAATATAAATATGATTCATCGTATTTACATGATATCGGTTTCGGTATACAGTTCCGACTGCTGTTTGCTATAAGTCCGCCTTCTGGTTTTGCTTTTATTCATTTTATTCAGAAACTACCACTTAGTAGTACTCGATATTGAACTATAACGATTATTAAATACTACGGGATGTACGAGACATTCTACGTCTACACACTGTGGAACTAAAATGTTTACGTGTTAACACATTGTGTAAGTAAAGTAAAGCTATTCCTGTACCAGGCCGTGAGGGCCCCTAGGGTTGTGAGAAGTTGAGGGCCCCACGTTTTCTAGACAATCGGCTCAAAGACGGCGGTAAGGTTGTCAGCCTTACGCACCGGCCGCGCTTTACTACACAGGAAAATTGAACACATTGTGTCCTGTTACTTAAGTATTTCTAAGTCTCAACACGCCGAAGTCTATCATTGAAGAATATTTGTAATATAAATGTCTTTACTCACTAACTTACACTAACAGTGACTAAAATGGCTTTACACATTTGTGACAACACTTGTATTGCTAGAGACTCAGCTTTCCGGCCCTAGAGGGTGGAGAAATTTACGGGTGGAAATAGTCAACTTGAGGGGTTGAGCAGCTTTTTATAACCCTTAACAGCAGTGGAGTGATGTGGTTTAACGATCAGTTTGCTAGCATTTCTCACACAGCCTCAAAGCTGTCTCCAACTGTAAAAGGTAAAGCTATCCGTGTAAGAAGCGGCATCCGTAGTCTAGGGGTAACGTTCCCACCTCATTACTCAAGGTACGCGGGTTAAAACCGGCGAAGGTCGTGGAATTTTTAAGGGCGGAAAAATTCAGGGAACAAGTCCTCCGGGAGGGACTTTAAGCCGTGGGTCCCGTGTCGTAGATTTACGGCAAGTAAAAGAACCTCATGTCTCTAGGAGACCTCTGAGCTAAATTTGGCCAAAAGTTTCCCTCCCAAAGTAGTCTCCAATGCCTCCGGTAGATGGGGCTGTATTAGGTACCACTGCCGGAGGAGGGGCGACCTCTCTGACAGAAAGGGACTAACTATTAGATACCACTGCCAGTAGAGGATTGGAACCTCGCTGGCAGAAAGGGGCTGATAGCGAGCACCAGTACCGGTAGGGGATGGAGACTGTAGAAATTAAAAGGGGGATGTACAATAGACTATCAGTCGCGGTGCATGGGGAAACCCACCCCCTCAATACTGAATAACTGAATCCGTGTAAGAGGCCGTGAAGGCCAATAGGGTTGTGAGAGGTAGAGGCTCCCACATCTTCTAGACAGCCGGCTCATAAGTAGTTACTATAGGATTCTAACGATGGTGTATAACACACAGAGATATTGGGTTCTTTGGACTTTATCCATCGTCCTGGTTTTAAAATAACTAAGAAAAAAACACGACGTTTCGGAAACTGGAAACCCAATATCTCTGTGAGTCGGCTCATAGATGGTGGTAAGAAAGTTGGCAGCCTTACGAGCCGGGCGCCCTTTACTCCCCACAAAAAAAAAATCCTCATACTAACTTCTATTACAGGCTGAGTCGACCCTAGGGCCATAGTGCGGCTGGAAGGATTAGGTAAATTGAAAAATCGAGACTCGAACCCTCGACCTTCCGGTGTGTAGCATAGTGCCTCAACCAACTACGTTACTTCGTGGCCCTAAGTCTCTAACAGTTTGCAAACTATGTATTGTCTGTTGTTTAGTTCCTAAAACTGCCTATGCTCTACGAGTTTCAGTTCTGTAGTACTGTATGAAAACTAAACTACCTTAACCAAAGGGAGGATGTTAAAAAACGTTTCTCCAGATTTCGTATAAAATAGTTTTTCATGCAAACAACACCCCTCCCAAGGGGGCCCTCCCATGGCTTTGGGAACCTCTGATCTAGACTCATGGAAGGTGAAAAATTGCGAAAGAACGCATGTGTAAATTTTACTCATGTTTTCAGAAAACGACGACCGAACAGGCACCAGATTATGTCTGCTGGACATATTTCATCCAAACGTTGCAATTTGATTCTTTCTGACAATTTATGGTGGGTACAGATGTGGCCCGTAGGTGTGCTCACTGTGATTGTGACCCCAAATCGGAGATGAGAGTACCTTCCGTCATAGAAGTTGAAATATTTTAAACATTGGGTGCCGAACTCAGGATGACCGCTGTACTGTCCACCTTTCTGAGTCCTTGACGCTATCCGCCTGCGTCACATAATTTCATTGTAAATTTCGTCTCTACGTCCGCGCTGCTTCTCCTAAATTGGTTTCTCCGAAGGTTGGCTATAGGAAAAAATAAGATTGCCTACGTTGGTAGCATCGCTTTAATGTTTCATAGCTGCTTGCGAAAATGATGTAAATACACATTGGAGGTTATGTGAGAATGGTCTGTGGTAGAATGTTGTAACGATTTGCGCATAAATTAATTTCATGTGAAATGTGGAGATTCACGAAATTATGCCAGCCAAAAAGTGGCATATTTTGTAGGTAAGTAATGTACGAGATAATTATATGAGTGTATAATATATTATTCTTATTCTAGTGTTCATAGTCGTAAATTCCCTGTCGTTAACTGTTACGACTTAATGACAAATCAACGATGTGTGGTTTGTGATTTATTTTACGATACTATCAGTTTCGCAGACTGTATCACCTAATAGTATGGTGACTGGTGAATAAGGATTTGGAAGGAAGTGGTCGTGGCCTAATCGTGGTACAGTCACAGAACTTGCGAGGAAGGACAGAAATAAAATGAAGAACCTCAGCCAAGATATCTGGTGTTCCTTCCAAGATTTGAACCGAGCGTCTTTCAAATACAAGCCAGGAACGGTACCCCCCTCCCCCCCCCCCCCANTGTACAGAGTGTCTCATTATTGAGGGCCTCCTTGAAAAATTACAGCTGTTCTGATTTCATCTTCCATGGCCATGCCTTAAATGAACCTGAGTTTTGACAGATTCCATATAAGAATGAAACAAATAAATGAGCTATTAATAACATTCTCTATTTTACTTGTAAATTGCTGAATTCACTGCCACAGTTCCACTCTAGTACCAAGTATACTGGCATAGACCTTGGTTTTCAAATATCCCCACAGAAAGAAACTGAGAGGATTCAAGTCAGGTGAGCATCAGACCAGGAAACTGGAGCTTCGTGTCTACAACCAGTCCAGCCGAAGTTAATTTTTGGCCGTCCACTGATGCACTTTGCAGCTGTGGAACACCACTGTGTTGCAACCACATGTGAAGGCTGTTATTGAATGACACATCTTCCAGTAAGCCACTTAAATGTGTTCAAAGACAATTAAGGTAGTTGTAGCTACTAACCTATGCCAGTAAAGTATAAGAGACTATGAGGTGCCATATCAAACTGTACTCTCACCATGCAACACAAAACGCTCTTGGAATGTCTGTTTTCAGAATTTGATGACAGGAGCTGACATTATCTAATGGTTATAACTTTTTAAGGGAGACCCTCAAGATACATAATAATATGAACTATTTAACTTATTTTGATATCCAGAAACCATCTCTAACATATGGCATGTAATGATGGGACACTATATAATCACTCACCGCGATGCTCCTTACTTACTGACACATTGGCTGGCAGGAGAACAGAGTCAAGTTGAGAGGTCATCACTCCCAGTAGGTCTGCAGAGGACATGGATCTTTACCCCAGGCGATTTTAGTGCATGTTGTGAAGTCATACCATTAAGTGTGCCTATAGTAAACAATGTAACTATATGAGACATATATTTCAGGATTTTATTATTTTGCAGTTAGTGTGCAGATGTTGGTTCTCCAGTTAGAAGCTGGTATCATTTGTGTATATGTGAAAAATGCATTTTTGAGACCTTGCAATAAATTTGTGTTCCATTGTAGGTAAGGTTATTAAGGTTGATCATGATGTAATTATTATTATAGATATGCTGCTGATATATGGTGCAATAAACCATTGTCCATCACCCTGAAGTTCGTGAAGGAAAGCCTGAAAGTGGATAGGCAGGAGTTACACTACTCTGCTAAAAAACATCCATTACCCATAGCAGGATCCAAAAAACCACACTCTCTGCTCTACAAGTTGTGTGTTGGAGTTGGAACAGTGTGTGGAGTGAAGATATATACTGGCAGCTTATTAGTATCCTGTGAAGCACTGCAGAAATCAAGAATAGCAGGACTGAAATATGATGGATATGTTGAAGAAGAAGCCGAATTTGATTGGAGAAAATTTTTTACTCTCCTTTGGCCTCACATATGGTATCTCTTGGCAGCAGTTGCAGTATGTTTGTCTAATATATATAAAAATATAAATTTTCTGTTAGTTTCTGTGTGTTTTCTGTTTCCTACCACTTCCCCAATAAAGTACATCCAAATACAGTACAATGAAATTTGCTCTATAGTCTTGCCAGTACGAGTATGTGTGATACTCACAAGTGACAAAGCAAAATTGCAGATAGTGTCGCAAAGTTCTGGGTATGATTCAAATCCTCATTCCCACTCTCCTTATATTAATTACATAAGTAAACTTTAATTTCTTGATTTCAGTGTTATTCCTTCTTTAAAGTAGTAGCTAGTATGTTGAAAAGAAACGCACATGTATCCCAGACAAACAATGTGCACTTCTGTTTATTGTACATAAAATATATATTTATAGTATTAGCTGCATGATTCATTTCTGTGCTGATTACTCTTCATATTATTTCCATTAGCCATTTGTTCACGGTTACAATTAACGAGTGGTGTGTTCCATCATGGTGTGATATACTTTAGAGTAACGTGTATCTTTCTAAGACACCTGCATGAAATATGGATCTGCTAAAAAGTGTCGGAAAATCTAGTCTGTTGATCAGTTATAACAGAATCGCACTGTCTCTCTCTTCTCTTAATGATCCAGATTTCTTTTACAGGGGGCCTTAGCAGTTGCTTTGTTGAATATAGAGATACCCCAGCTTCTAGGAAGTGTAATTAATGTAGTAGCCAAATTTGCACGGAATGGCAGTAGCACATTATTCATGGAACAAGTGAAGTTGCCCGTCTTTCGCCTGATCAATATGTATATAGCACAGGTGAGATCTTTGGCCCAATTTAATTATACGAGTATATTATTTATTATACTGCAATTGGGTTTTAGCCCGGTGGCAGTAGTACACAATAGGACACAACAGACAAGTAACACACATTACACTAAGTGACAACACGTTCAAACGAAACACAACAATAAGGACATCCTACCACAATGAATACAAACCAAATACGATTAACAACTGCAACAATTACAGAGAAATACAAACAACTGCAACAAATACAACAACAATTACAGAGAGAGAAAAAAAAATACAACACCCAAAACACAAACAAAAGGAAACCAACAGTCATGGATGCGTAATGTCATTCACTTCACTTCACTTCACTTCACTGCAGTTTTTTTTTTCTTTTTAATTATTTCCACCCCAACTTCACTTCGCCTCATTTATCACTTTCCTAACCCTTTGCCTAAAATTGCTTGGTTTACAGGACAGAGTACCTAAAGCATCTGCAGGTAGTTGGTTCTAGAGCTGTATGGTCCTATTTACAAAGGAGTATTTCCCGATATCTGTCCATTGCTTTCAACTTCTAATTTTCTTGCCATGATCACCCCTGCTCAGATAGATATTGGTACTATATATGTGTACAAGTGGTCTGAGACATCATAATCTGTAAAGACAGTTTTGGATGTCCCACATTGTAAAGGTGTATGTAACGTAAACAGGTAATTTGATTAACCTGTAATTTAATATGGAATATAAACCAGGTAGTTGAGTAATTATCTTTCTTATATTGTAGATTTTAAAGGGATCTGACAGAAGTGTATGGTAGTTGAGATTAATGGGTTTTTGGACTTTTCCATCATCCACGATTATAAAGAACGTGTTTTAGTAACTGGATCTGTTTCCATCCTCAGGTGATGAGGTGGGAGATGCCGACTTACCTACTTACTGGCCCAACATAGTAGGTATCCCACACCCCTCACTCGAGAATGGAAACAGATACATTTTCCAAAACATTGTGTTCTTCAGTGTTCTTTAATATACTGGATGATGGACAACGTCCAAACACTCAGTAATCCCGGTTTTCTTACATTCTGTTTGTGAGGTTCCAGGTTTGGTTCTTGGCTTGAGAGGCCTGATGTCTTAGATTTTTCTTTGTTCCTTTATCAGAATCCTGGGTAATATCAACAAATATATAATGACTGCCTCCTTCCACATCCTTTCTAATTCATCATCCCATTTGACACTGCATAGCCTATTCTGTTAAAGCTTTATTACTAAATTAAGAAAATAACTTTGCATTATTCAGTTTGTATACTTTGTTCATCCTCTGATATTTTGAACAGAACACAACATTTTGGAAAACTATATCTATTTCCATTCTGAGATAAAAAATGGGGAGGCACTTCTTTCAAAAGTAACTCCACTGAATAGACATCTCCCCACCTGTTCAGCTGAAGATGGAAGCAAAATATTGTGTTCTCTTGAGACTACTAGATGGAAGGCAGTCTAGAAACTCAATAATCCTAAATGTAATTCATCATCTCCACAACCCTTTAGAATTGATTTAATACCTTCTTAATCTTCTCCAGTTGAATTGCATTTCCCCTTTCTTCTCTGTTAGCAGGAACACTCAAATTTGAATTTGGGAGACAACCATTTTAAGTCTTGGCTGGAACACTGGCTATTGAATCTAGTGTTCTTTTGGTTTTGTTCAGTCTCGCCAATCGAATTCATAGACAGTATCATGATATAGGCCACAGCTGCAACCTCATAAATCTGTATCTGTTCTATTTAAGATTATCTCACCATCTTATGCAGTGTGTATAACCTCTTCATTTGAAACATTGTTGTTAAATAATCTGAGAATGAATCATGCATTGGAAAGTACTCTGAAACTTTGGGGGTGTGGGGGTGTGGGGACAAGCAGTGAGACCAGAACAGATCCCATTCACAGTTTATATGCAGTTATGGCAAATTTAAATTTTGAAATTTAACTCACTTTAGTTATACCTTATGTGTGTGTGAACTTTAATCATTAAAACAAACATTACTTCTTAATCTTTTTTTACATAGGCATGCTTCACTTTCATATACATCTACCTTTTGTCATGCATAGGCGAGAAGGTAGCAACCCAGTTGAAGCAGGAGTTATTTGAGTCCATCATGAAACAAGATATTGCTTTTTTTGACCAACAAAGAACAGGAGAACTGGTCAACAGGTAAATAAAGTACTTCAGACACTAACACATGTCTGGTCATGCTGCAGATGCCAGGTTCACGCACGCACATAAAAGCCACTGGAACACTGGAATTACAGATTGAAAACCTTGTATGTCGATTAGACTACAACTGCTTCCTTTCAGATCCTTTCTAAATCAATTTTAACCAGTCACTACCATTTGATGCTATATAGTTTAAGATACTGAGTGTCGTAAAGTAAATCACAAAAACATTAGAAAACCTCAAAATCATTAGTGCTTTAAAACACAAAGCTCTATATTGTAAATAATGTGATGCAGGGACAGTAAAGTTAAGAACAACTGTGCACTTTCCCCATGAAGTACGTATATGGGTTTTGCATGATTCTCAAAGTAAACAGCAATTATTTGCCTACAAATCATTAACTGGTTGGTTTATGTAAGAGAGACACATTGCATTTTCTCTGAGGCAAGATCTGAACTTTTAAATATTTAGATGCATTTCATGCCACAAAGATTTATTGAGACTAAGGCTGAAGAGAAACTGTAGTGACAGATATGAAGAATGCTGCAGATAGAGGGACAGAGGAATGATATATAGAAATGTGTTTTCAAATTATAACAATGAAAGCACTTAAATTGTATTTATGTGGTAGACTTCTGGATCTGTGAAGAAAGTCAGAACCCTTTTCTGTCTGGACTGCTCAGAAAAATCTATGTACCATTTGGCTAGTTAATTAGCTGTCTTCACACATTCACTGCCATGGTGTTCACCAATGCCCACTCCAGACCCTTTACCTCATGCCATGGTGGTCGCCGCTGTCTACTGCAGATCTTTGCCTTGTGCCATGGTGGTCACCAGTGTCTGCTGCAGATCTTTACCTCATACCATGGTGGTCACCACTGTTTACTGCAGATCTTTGCCTTGTGCCATGTTGGTCACCAGTGTCTGCTGCAGATCTTTACCTCATGTCATTGTGGTCACCACTGTCTACTGCAGAACTTTACCTCATGCCATGGCAGTCACCAGTGTCTGCTGCAGATCTTTACCTTGTGCCATGGTGGTCACCACTGTCTACTGCAGATCTTTACCTCATGCCATGGCAGTCACCAGTGTCTGCTGCAGATCTTTGCCTTGTGCCATGGTGGTCACCAGTGTCTGCTGCAGATCTTTGTCTTGTGCCGTGTTGGCCACCACTGTCTCCTGCAGATCTTTACCTCATGTCATTGTGGTCACCACTGTCTACTGCAGAACTTTACCTCATGCCATGGCAGTCACCAGTGTCTCCTGCAGATCTTTACCTTGTGCCATGGTGGTCACCACTGTCTACTGCAGATCTTTACCTCATGCCATGGCAGTCACCAGTGTCTGCTGCAGATCTTTGCCTTGTGCCATGGTGGTCACCAGTGTCTGCTGCAGATCTTTGTCTTGTGCCGTGTTGGCCACCACTGTCTCCTGCAGATCTTTACCTCATGTCATTGTGGTCACCACTGTCTACTGCAGAACTTTACCTCATGCCATGGCAGTCACCAGTGTCTCCTGCAGATCTTTACCTCATGCCATGGTGGTCACCACTGTCTACTGCAGATCTTTACTTCATGCTATGTCGGTCACCAGTGTCTGCAGCAGATCTTTACCTCATGCCATGGCAGTCACCAGTGTCTGCTGCAGATCTTTGCCCTGTGCCGTGGCGGTCACCAGTGTCTGCTGCAGATCTTTACCTCATGCCATGGTGTTCACCAGTGCCCACTCCAGACCCTTTGCCTTATGTCATGGCAGTCACAAGTGTCTGCTGCAGATCTTTACCTCATGCCATGGTGGTCACTGGTGTCAGCTGCAGACCTTTACCCACAAAAATGAATAGATGTTTTTGCTGTGATCATTGCATAATTTTCCAATAAAAGGTATCACTTCGGAGTGAAGAAAATCCTAATGGCAGGTGAAGGGTGCCATAACACAGAGTAAATGTAGTGATGTATGCTGTAAGTGCATGGTTATTTACTGGACTGATATTTTTGAGCAGACTGTGTTCAAATTGACACGTAAATGTTATATTGAGCCTCCAGAGCTTCAGAATGTGTTGCAAAACTTGTTTACCTGCTGTAAGGCATGCTGGCAAGCAGAATGGGGTCACTCATATAGTTCTTGTAAATTATTCCAAGTTTGTATCACATTGTTCTGGCATCAGTAACGAACATCTCTTTCAGTAGAGAGTGATACAAGAATCAGAGCTGCATGTAAGGATTGCACTGTTACCTATACAGTCACACGGTAAGCTAACACCATAATGACAAGCAGGACAATGTGGTCTCCATTTAACTGTCTGTAGGTGTGATGTAGCGACCCTTAAGCCAACTCTTACATTTTGGGAATCAACACATATACTCAAAATGTAAATATGTCCCTATATGTGAGTCTTTTTTCTTAGGCTGACCTCTGATGTCCAAGATTTCAAGAGTGCATTCAAGCTTTGTATTTCCCAGGGATTACGCAGTATTATGCAGGTGAGGAGTTAAATTCTACAAAAATATCTGTGACAAATTTCATGTAAACTTGCTTATTGGACGACAATGTGTTGACCAAGTGATTTTGCATTTTTTTACAGATAATTGGCTGTGGCACGTCACTATTCCTCATTTCACCACAGATGACCTTGACGATGCTTTTAATTGTCCCAACAGTGATTGTAACAGGAACTCTGCTGGGATCGTTACTTCGGAAGCTATCTCGAGATGCACAAGCTCAGGTATTTTAATAACATGACAATATAAAAACTAAGTGAAGTGTGACAAGTGCTTCCGTAAGCAAGGCAAGTGATGCTGTACACAGTGAACAGGCTGCTGGATTGATGAAGATATTCAGAGTACATCATGTGATGTACATTTCTCACTGGTTAAAACTTAGTGATTGTAACCTCTGTCAAATCCTGGAATGAGAACTTTTTCTGTTGACAAGTGTATGATGGAGAAGGTGGGTTAATGGAATCTTTAGAGACTGATACCTGTAAATAATTTCAGGAAGAACCCTGCGGCTGTTGTTTGTCACAGAAAGTTACAGAAAAACAGTGATAACTAGTTACAAAGCACTTATCATGATCGTATGGTGAAAAAATGCTGGTTTTCCATATATGTAACATCAAGAAACTGATGGTTTCAATAGTTTTAACACTATAATGAGGCCTTTATTACAGGCCATTCTCATTCTGCCGCAGTTTCACCGTATTTCATGGCAAAGATGCAGAGTAATAGTGATATGGCATTTCCTTGTTTCAAGCTATTCTGAATAGGAAATATTGTCAGGCATATTTTTATCTGTATTAATTTTGCTGTAAGTTTCATTCAGACACATTTTAATTTTATAATTAATTTCATGGCTATATCAGACTCCCCCCTCGTTGGTGTCTCCACCTTATCGTGGTGAGGGGGTTTGAGTATGCCAAGGACCCTGAGAGCTATACCAGCGGTAGCGTAGCTACTGGCAGGGCCTCCCTTGCTGGACAGGTCAAAGGGTAGGCATCAGACGAAGAGAGACACCAAAAACTGATGCCGGAAGCAGCGTCATCAGCAGCGACTTGAAGCACAGAGCAAATGATGCTCGAGATGGTTCAAGTTCGTATAGCAACAGGCGTGACCAGAGTGGTTTGAACGGCTGCTGTACTGCGATGTGGAAAGCAAATGGAAAAACTACCACATTATCACTTTTCCTGGATAGTCTCTTTCCAAAAACAGAAGATCGCATTAAGTGGAGGAACTGTTTTGGAAGAGACTGTGGACCTGTCGTCTGACAGATTACTGATGGATGGATGGATGGATCAGACTCATTAAGAATATTGTACAGTACTTCACTTTTAACTGAAACATGGGCTCTCTTGATTGTGTAAATGGTTGCTGGCCTGTCCCATTGTACTCCCACTTTTTCTACAGTACCTAACAGTTGCTAGAAAGCTGGTCAGTAGCTGATATGTTATTTCAAAATCCACACTTATTACCCCCAGTAATTATCTACTTGTACTGTGGTCATTGAGGGTGCACGCGGTAGCATACTGGTTGAGGCACTATGCTACAAGCCAGAAGGTCGCGGGTTCAAGTCCCGATGAGGTCATTGGATTTTTTTCAGTTGACCTAATCCTTTCAGCCGCACTATGGCCCTGTGGTCGACTCAGCCTCTAACAAGAATGAGTACCAGAAATTAATTAAATAATTTTCCTGGGGAGTAAGGTGTGGCCGGCGTGTAAGGCTGACAACCTTACCACCATCTTTGAGCCGATTGTCTAGATAATGTGGGATCCTCTACATCTCACAGCCCTATGGGTCTTCACGGCCTGTTACAGGGATAGCTTTACTTTACTGTGGTCATTGAAATTGAACATTAAATAAGGGAAACCTTTAAGTTGAGACAAGTCAAATTGGGATTCCAATTTTTTTTAATTAGTTATATGGTCGATATTTCTGTGCATAAGTTTACATGGTACAGATATTTCCTCATTCATTATGTTTCAGATTTTTGTCCTCATAATTGTTCTTGTCTTGAAGAGTCTCTCCATCTGTTTCTGCCTTTGGTGACTTACTGAAGAGTATCCATCCATCATGGGTCTGACTTCAGATTTCAAATAACAGCTGTATTATTACTCATTTGATGATAATCTAGTTACTTTAAACAAGTTTGTTAATCTTTATTGCCTGGGGATAGGGGATTTTCTGTCCCAATAGCATGAAGGTTAATGGTTTTAGCAGCACTTTTTGTTTCAAATCATGTTTGGCAGTATTTTCAGACTTCAGTGTTGTAATGTACAGAGCACCAGCAGATGGTCACTTTTGAAAAAATAAGCTGACATGCATCTGTTATTTGACAGTATGCAGACTGGCTGAAAAAATCACCGATTATTACTAGTGAAAAAATGAAATGCTCACCTGGCTAGTTCCCCAAATGTACCATTATACTAGTAAAATTCATGGTCAGTAAGGGTTAATGGAAATTTGCTATTAAATATTAGTGTATGGCCATAATTTTACTTTCCAATTTTAGCACTCACTTCACTGTCTGTCTCCATCTTCATCCATATATTAAAATTCACACTTTGAAGGCTCTTTGTCTCTTATTATTGTTTATTTAACACTACATGTTTCAGCCTAACTGGCTGTCATTAGTTGTATAAGATTGTAGATGAAAACTGCTGCTCTGTTAATATGCTGCTGTATTTTTCATTTTGCTGATGAGTTAGTGAGTGAGAACAGTTACACACAGCACAAAGGAAAGAAACCAACACACCAAAAAACATACACCAAACCCACAATATGTGTGCACAATAAAAATAACCACAGCATGATAAAATTAATTTAAAAAAAGCTTAAAATATTTTATAAGCATTTTACTTTACCTACTTGTAAATTGCAAAATGCAACAACATAACAACAGAGCAGCAGTTTTCATCTGCAGTCTTATGCACCAGATGATGGCCAGTTAGTGTTAAGTAAATAATAAGTAGAGACAAAGTGCCTTTGAGGTGTGAATTTTAATAGTTGGACCAAGCAGCACAGAGGTGGTGAAGTGAGAGGGCCACAATTGGGATGCTGCTATACAATATTACTTTCTGAGCATTGTAATTGCACAATAATAGTTCTGTGAATGTTGTTAAAGTGAGAAATGATGCATGGCGGGTAGTATGGTTTTTCTTTCCTCTTTCAGGCTGCTAAGACGACTAGTATAGGCGAAGAAGCTATCAGCAATATTCGTACTGTACGGGCCTTTGCTATGGAAAATGAAGAATGTGAGTTATTCTGTCAGCAGTTGGAGGAAGCAAGTCGCCTCAACCAACGTCTGGGTTTTGGTATTGGACTGTTCCAGGTACTGACTGGCTGTCTAACTAAAAAATAGAGGTCCCTTCATTGAAAGGTTTATTGTTATTCAACTCGTCATAACTTCCTGCTCTTATGGAATGTGTAGTATCTTTACTGAGCCCAGAAATGTCCACAGTTGGAACCCTCATGTTATTACTTAAATAGACAACCAATATTATCCTGCCATCTTTGCCTCAGTGTCTGTCATGGTTGAAGATTTTTAATGGGTTTTTATATCATCATTATCTTCTGACAGTTACATGAGAGTTGTTTACCTTCTAACAAATTCTTTTTTCTGGCCTTTTCCTTCATTACTCAATTTTTCACATGGTCTCAGCATGTAGCCCTTGAACTCGTAATGGCTGTATTTTCTGTTTTAATTTTTCACGCTCTTAACCTTTGTTATCTGGGAACATGGGGCTTTAAATCTTATTCTTTTCTTTTCTTTTTTTGTGTGTGTGGGGGGGGGGGGGTGGTGCACTGCTAGTATGAGTAAAAATGCAAATCATGTGTTTAATTCTTCAGNTTACTAAAAAAATGCCGTTGTCGACTAGCTGGACCGTGTGCATATGCCATTTAGTAATGCATCACAGAGCGAGTGAAAGTTATAGTAAAATGGTTTCCATCTTTGTGTCCATATGTCCATGCCATGGCACCCTTAATTTCACCTACCTTTAGGTCATGCCTGATGTCCATGTCTTGGAAATTTTCCTTCTCTTTCATTTCTTAATGCTCTGCTGCTTGTAATCTGCTTACATCTCTCACAGTCTATGCCTGTCTTTGTACTCCATGTGTCAGAAAGGGTAAAACAACTTTCTTCAAAAATTACAAATTTTGAGCAATATCTCTAACACTTTTCCACACTGGTCCTGGTAATTGCTGTGATCTTCTGTCCTACACAGCTCAGAACCAAGACTCATCAGAATTGATGTGGACAGGCCTTCAGTCTTTCTTCCTTTGGATTTTTGAGTGAAAGGTACTAGTTACTTAGTCTTACTGTACTTAATCTTACGTACTGTACAGAGTATGTACGTATTTCAGTGGTTTTGCAAATACATGGTGGAGAAATACTGAAAATCTCATTCACAGTGAAGTTCTTTTAATCAAAAAGAGAGATTTACACAAAAATGACCAATTTATGGGGACCGTACCTCAATAAACCATATATAGAGAGTATGCTAAAAGTAATTTCCAGATCTATAAATTATTTTTATAAATTCCATTCTGATTTTTCTATTTGATGAAATTATATCATCAAAATAAGAAAAGTTAAAAAAATCTGAATCATGGACAACAAGAGCTGATGAGAGAAGACTCATATTAGCTGAAATGCATTTCATGAGGAGATCTGTGAGATGCGCCATGTCAGACTGTAGAAGATTGAAGAGATATAAATTTCACAAATAACAGAGTTTATAGAAGAGTACAGAAGAATTTGTGTGGAAGAAAACCATCTGGACAGGATAAGCTGTGACATGACTCACAAAAAGGTTTTAAAATATTAATCAAAATGAAAAGGAAGTCTGAAATAAGGGAAGGATTCCGTTTTGTAATATCCATAATATGTTTCAGTAACTGTAACACCTAAAAGGAAATAAGACAATTTTTCAACATTCTTAAAAGAATAATATAAATTATCATTTTGCATGTCTGTATCTTCTTGTCAGATTCATATTGTTACTCTTTTATCTTGTCTGATTTTCCCTTCAGTGTTCTGAACTTCATGCCATTTATTGATTTTATTTTTCAGTCTTTCTTCTTTGTCTTCTCAAAGCAGAGATTATATTATACATTATATAAACTAGTCACTGTTATTTGTCCATGTTAGCTGTAATGAAGTATATACCTTGTTTTTTCAGGCAGGGACAAACCTGTTTCTCAATGGAATGGTTCTAGCAACATTGTACATGGGAGGGTACTTAGTGTCTAATAACCAGGTGTCACCAGGTGACATAATGTCATTCCTTGTAGCCACACAAACAATTCAGCGCTCTCTCACTCAACTGTCTCTGCTGTTTGGTCAGATGGTGAAAGGACTGGGTGCAGGAGCAAGGGTGTTTGAAGTAAGTATAATTTCCTGGTTGTAGATATTATGTACAAGAAATAGATGACCCACACAGATTTGCACTAAGACATCAGTGATTTAAAAGAAACAATTTATAGTGAAATGATGTGTTTGGTGAATATCTTTCCAGTCCCACCCAAAGCCCAATGTAAACAATATATTATTTGCCCATATTTTATTAATTTTTAGCTTGCTTTTCTTATTTTGGAAAAAAATAGAAGTAGGCTTATGAAATCACCTTTGTGTGCGTGCACGCGTGCCCCCCCCCCAAGCAACTTTTGAATGCCTGTATGAAACTTGGTATGTATGTCACATGAAGCCATCTCAATGGCATGCTTCATAAATCTGTCCCATCAGTAATACCAACATTGAAGCCTCTCAAATAAGAATTGACAAGGGAAATGGAAGTACTCAAGGGGAAACCTGCCTTAGTATCAATTTATCCACTGTTAATTCCACATGGCCTAAACTGGGATTGAACCTGGACCACCTCAGCAGGAGGGTGGTAGCTAAACACTTGAGCTATGGCATGGCCATGTGCCACAGTTTTCACTGCACAGCCTTGCTGGTTCAAAAAAGAATTTACTGCCCTTGGCATCATTTCTGAATGTTCTCATATTTAAGCAGCAGCAGCAGTGGTAATTTAACTGAAGAGTTTGACTCTCATTAGTACCTTGGTCTTATAAGCCATCTTCTTAATAAGATTCCATAAAAAGAATCAAGTACAGTTAGGTCTGGAGATCTTGGTGGCTGTGGTATTGCCCCAGCATGATCAATCTATGGATTTCTATGGATTTGTGAGCCATAAGTTGACAATCAAAGTATGGAGGTGCCCCATCATGCTGTTGGAACATCCTGAGCCTTGTCTCCAGAGCTCATACTTTCATGCATGTTTAACCTCGATGCTAGGGTGAAGTGAGTGTCGAGCCTCATTCTGTGGCTGCTCTATTCCCAGGGAAAGAGCCTGTGGTATCCATTGGATAGCAGACTGGGTGTGCCATAGAGATGATCTGGATTCTGTGGAGAATCTCTTGCCTTCACCAGGATTTAAATCAAAACTTGTTGGCCATCCATCCTATGTTCTAATTGGTATACTGATTTAGGTATCATGGCTCCTGCCAGATGCTGAAATAGCACAATGAAATATGCTACAATCACGTTCTTCCAAATTCTTAGGCACTCACATTCTAATTTGATGCTTTATTATATCTGCAGTTGAGATATTGTCATTATTTAGTCTTCACTCACTCATGGATCTGAGCCCTTCTTGAGAAGCTGCCAGTTGTGCAGCTACTCAGGAACTTACCAGCATTTCATGGAACCCAAAGGTTCATTACCATGTTCACAAGAGCCCTCCACTGGTCATTATCCTGAACCAGATGTAACCGTACATCCCTCACTGAACATTGTTTAACAATGGGCTAGGCAGTTATTCTGGGTATTAAATCCATGATTTGACATTGAACGAGACCTGCCAGAAATGGTCTTGAATTGCATACCCATGTACCTTGGAGTCCTGAAAAGGTTTAAGATAGGCATCTCAATGAACAGATGAGGGACTGGGGCCTTGCATGACCCTTGGCTGTCTCTTGTTTTCCATTAATGGCCACTTAGAGACTTGTGTCTAGCAGCTACCTGAGGGTGAGTGAAAAGAGGCAGTGGGTTATAGGGAGCTGAAGTGGACAGTAGTTGAAATGTAGACGCAGAACAGAGAAGTTGGTTACCAGAAGGTAGCGAGTGTGTGTATGGCCAGTGAGATTGGAGTGATTGAGTGTGAATATAAGTAATGATGATGACGGGAGTGATCAGTGAGAGGCGAGCTTGAAGGAGGACTACTGTAAAGATTAACAATCACTGTACTCAATTTTAATTTGAAATGGCAATCCATGGTGTGGGTTCTGGAGACCCCGTAATTCATTAACGATGAAGTGTGCTCCCCTCCTGGTATCCGAAGCAGCCAGTATCCCCAGGATAAAGGTCTCATCTCGAGTGATAATCGTGGCATCTGTAGGTTGGCGGTCAGCTGCACAGATCAATCCAATCCATACCATCCCATCCCATCCCATCCCATCCTATCTCTCTGAGATCCATTTTAATATTGTCCACCCACATACATCTTGGTTTCCCAGTGGTCTTCTTCCTTCTGGCTTTCCCACCAATATCTTATATGCATTCCTCCTCTCCCCCCCCCATTCGTGCTACATTCCCTGCCCATCTCATACTCCTTGACATTGTCATTCTAATTATAGTTGGAGAAAAGTACATGTTCTGAAGCTCCTCATTATGCAGTTTTCTCCAACCTCCTGTCACTTCATCTCTCTTCAGTCCAAATATTCTCCTCAGCACCCTGTTCTCAGATAACCTCAGTCAGTGTTCCTCCCTTAAAGTCAGACCAAGTTTCACACCCATACAGAACCACAAGGTGGTAGATTCACATCATCAGCATAGACCAACAGCTGATGTCTCCCACCTCATTTTCTTTGACCTTCCTAGTGGCATATTCTAAAGCAAAGTTGAAAAGGAGTGGCAATAAAGCATCTCCTTGTCTTAGACCATTCTGGATAGGAAATTTATTAGACAAATATTTACCTATATGGACTTTACTATAAGTTTTGTTTAAACACATTTTAATCACTTAACTAGTTTCATGGGTACTCCAGACTCTATCAGAAAATTGTACAATATTTCCCTCCTAACTGAATCATAGGCTTTCTTGAAGTCTATGAATAGCTGTATAGCTCCAGTATCTGATGAATGCAAAAGATCTGGTCAGTAGTTGATCTTCGTCATATATATTATATATTGTCACCCAGCGAATGGTGGAATAGTCTTATAAAATAAAGTACAACCACATCCTTCCAAATTCCTAGCTACTCACCATTTAATTTGATGCTGTATCATCTGCAGTTTAAACAGTGGCATTAAATAACATAAAATGAATCATACCTTACATGTTTAGACAAAGTAAACAATATCTCTCATAATTTATTTGTTTGATTATTTCAGTTCATAAACTTGGAATCATCAATGCCTATTAAAGGAGGTAAGAAGATACCATACCACTCTCTGGTTGGAGACGTTACATTCAACAATGTTACATTTGCATATCCTACAAGACCACAACAGGTAAGTAGATACTATAGGATTCTGACGATGGTGTATAACACACAAAGATACTGGGTTTTCGGACTTTGTCCATCATCCGGATTCTAAATAACTAAGAAAAAACACAATGTTTTGGAAACTGGATCTGTTTCTGTCCTCAGGTGAGGGAAGACACCTACTCTATTGGGTCTCTTAGAAAGAGCTAGCCTCAATTCAGTGATTGTGTTGTGTTTTTTCTTAGTTATTTAGAATCCGGACAATGGCCAAAGTCCGAAAACCCAGAATCTCTGCACAACAGGTAAGTTCAGGCTAAAGTTTTTGCTAAAGAGAGCTGACTGTAACATTGCATATCTTATTTAAATTGTGTTCTTCTCTGACACTGTGCTGTGTAGTCTGATAGGTGGTTCCCTTTTTTTAAATGAAAATCCTGCTGCCTTCATCTTCAGAGTTTGACTGCGGAAAATGAAGTAGAATCTGAGCCAAAATAGCTGGCAACCCCCTCAAGATAGGGTTTCTGCAGATAGAGGTGGCAGGTTTCTCCAGGCAGTTGGTATCCACTTATGAGATTAAGCAGTGCCACAACCCAGAAGATCAGAATCTAAACTTTCAGTGCTCTGAAAACTTCAAATGTCATATATTGCAGACTGTGAAAGGCTATGTGACATCTTGTTTTTCTTCCTTCATTGTCTCCACGTTGGTCACCTAGCAACAAAACCTCTATATCTGTCTCTTTCTTCTCAAAGTTCCTCCTCAATTTCCCCCCATATTCTTCCTTCTTTCTGAATGACGTCTTTCCTCACCTCTTGTTCACTTGGCCCCAGTTTTCCTCTTGGGTATTTTCCTTTTATTTGCATGTTGAAAACATTCTTTGGGATTCTGTCTTTGTTCATTCTTAAAACATGCCCATACCATCATATTCCATTATTTATTAATTTACCTTTCACTGTAATTATATCTAATTGTCTCTACTTTTCTTGTTTCTTATTATCCCCCCCCCTTTTTACTTCTAAAAGTTCTCATCTCAGCTGTTAGTCTACTAATATTTTCATTTGTCCAAAGCGTGTTTCAGCTTCATATGTCAAAATGGTCACATAGTAATTTTTATATGAACACATTTTTTCCTCCATTTGACATTTCCTTTTTCCAAAATATATCCCAACTAACTGGTAACATTTTTGTGCCTTTTTAAATTCTTTCTTTAATTTCTGCTTATACTTTTCCATTTGTCATTATTTTATTTCCTGAGTATTTGAAAGTCTCCACTGTTCATATTTTTTAACTATTACAGTTTATCTATTTTGTGTTTCCTGACCTTTCACTAATTTTCCTATCTACACATTTATCCAAATTGTGATTATTCAAAAATGTTTACGTAGTGTGACCATGAATGGAATTTTACATCTGAGGTTTGTTCATCTGGAAGAGTTCTGTCTTGTGGGATGTAACACCATGTAGTCCTCTGAAAGTGAGCTTGCATTCTGAAGGAACTTGTTGCTTGCATCTTCAGGGTTGAAAGGTAAGCCAAGCAAGAAACCAGCATGCAGCACGCAGCAAGCAGAGCTCCTCAGCCCTGAAGATGGAGGTGATATGGTCTTGAGAAACCTCAATTAACTTACACCAGACCACATGGCATTACATTCCAGAAGATAAAACTATTCATAGCCACTACTGTGAGAACCTTAAATCCTGCATTCATTTATCTGTTTCACTTGTAATTATATCTGCACAAATAATAAATAGTTTGGGGTATTCCACTGTCTTATCCTACTTTTATTCTTCTTTTTACCCCATCTGTTACCATGCTTTACAGTATTGGGCAACATGTGGCATAATCTGTTTATTTGTTTAGTAATTCCCATTGAATACTTCTTACAGTCATGTTACTTTTCATTTGACAACTTACATTTTTCTCTGTAGCAGAAAAGTATGATTATCACTGTTTTGTTTCATTCTTGAAGATCCAGGTTCAGACCCTGAGGCCAGTTATTCAGTTTTTCCATGCTTACTGTAACAGTATTTTGAAGTATACCACAGCCATAATATCCATAAGTCTAGAACAAAAATTATGAGATTTTAAACAGAGCATTAGACATCTTTGACTTCTATATTTGGAAGATTCTGAATTGTAATACCAGTCCGTAACAGGTGGTGCTGAAGAACTTCAACCTTTACCTGCCTGCTGGAAAGACAGTTGCTATTGTAGGATCCTCAGGAAATGGGAAATCAACAGTTGCAGCTCTTGTAGAAAGGTATGTTGTAACACTAACCACATTTTTCAAATAATTTCTTATATTGAATAGAGATATGTTAGAATAAAAGCATAACCCTATGACTTTGTGACTTACTGACAGAAACAGTAGCCATTTGAGCTGAGTCCTGTTGCCAGTTCTTTTTAAAACTGTAAAATTTGTGGCAGAAAATATTGTGATGTGATGCCTGAAAGCCAGAATAGTGGAGTCAGATCAGAAGTTGATTTCTTAGGCAATGAGTATTAACAGAGTACGTTCCCATGACAGTGGGTTACCAATGGGATTATTATACATGCACTTCCATGAGAACACTCACCTAGGCGTGTACGAGTAGGTTACTGTGGAACTGGAGGTGTTTCCATGGTAATGTGTGCTTAGGCAGACAGCACAGATACAAAATACAGACCTCTTTGAGGCAGTGTTGGGCTGCCCAGCAGTTATAACCAGAGTTCAGAAGTGACGTCAGGAGTTCAGGAATGAAGTCGGAAGAAGAACCAGATTACTAGTGAACACAGAAAATGTGTGAACTGTTATAACCAAGTGTGATTGTAATCTTGACATCAAATTCCTAATCATCAGTTCTAGAATCCACAATTATTAGTCATGGAACCCCAGACATGTGACAGTTTGGTGTCAGAAAGTGGTTACAGCCTTAAATTCATGACAATTTGGTGTTTGAAAGTGGTTACAGCCTTAAATTTATGATAATTTGGTGTCAGAAATGATTATTGGATTTGCGATTGCAACATTTACCTATATCACACATTATGGAAATGCAACAGATGATAGAAAGCCTGTTGGCTGGCCAAGAACAAATGATTGCCAATATGCAAACCAAACAAGAAATGACGACCAGGATGGACTCCAACCAGGCGAAGGCAGCCGACAATCTCAAGGAAATAAGAGAAGTAATTCAGTCTGGACAAGCAGAAATGAGGTCCATAGTTGATGCCTGGATAGTGGACATGAAAGCCTGCCAAGGAGTTTTGGAGGCCAGTCCAGGGAAGCTGGAGTCTAATCCAGAAAAGATGGAAGCAAATCCAGTGGAAATGATGTCTGTAGTGGTGCATGAGGAATTCCATACCGAAAATGCAGTGGGATCTTTGGAAAAGGAGGGGAAGCAACGTAGGGGACAGCAGCGGTGCAGAGAGCCAGGGAAACTTACCCAAGGACATTTTGGATCCCCAGGGGAAATTGGCTTCTGTCTGCAGGAAGGTGACCCACCATACAAGAGTCGCATGGCGCAAGGAGGGCGTCGTCAGAAGGAACTGTATCAGGTCCAAGGTTGAGCAAGCAACCTAGAGTGTAGGATCGCTCTGGAGGAATCTGCAGACTCTTAGCAAGAGGGGTGAGGACATGCTACAAAGGCAGAAATGGATTGAAGGGCCTGGGCAGCAGACAGCCGCAATATCTGAAGAAACAAGACCTTAAGAAACTACAGCTGAAGGGAACAGGAAGTGTTATCAAGACCTGCAGACTCTAAGACTGATCACTATGGAGGGGTCAACCCCCACCAAAACAGAAAAGAAACTGCAGATAGAGCAGGAGCCAGTGATGTAGAAGCGCTGGCCCCCATGCTAGAGGGAGGGGAGGGTGACAGATGATGATGATGCACCTTGATAGACAGGTAATTGATATGGGAGCTGCACAGGATGAGTGTCCTTAAGGAGGGAGCAGTGGTAGTGGTTGGAGAGGTGCCACCGCAGAGAGAGAAAGAAGAAAGTGAATTAGCCACAGGAAGGTGATATACCATTAGGCAGTTCGGGATGAACAGCCTTAACACTTTGCGGACCGCGCACCCTTTAAAATGTTTTTCGCTTTTAAACATGGCGGACCATTCGCATGTTAACAGGCTTTTAGAACACGATAAGTTGCAACACACTATACATCGCTCTGGCGCCACCTACATTGCACGCAACCACCTGCAGATGCGTGATAAGACTCTGGAATGTTTAGTTAGCAGTCTGTAACTTTACCTCGCTGTTTACTTAACCGACTATAAAGGAAAATGCTTTGCCTTCTTCAAACTGTATCAGCCAGTAGCTAGTGGGGAGAATGGATCAAGGACAAATTCTCCTCCGATGACCTAGCTGACCTGCCTTGTGAGACGCATAGTAATGGATTAATTGTCATTCAGACAGCAACAGTGACGGGGGACAACAAAGAATTGTGGCCACAGACAGTAAAAGTGACAGTAGCTCTGAAAATAATGTGGGTAATAACATTGTGCGTAGTAACATTGCGGGAACAGCAAAAAATCTAAAAAAAAAAATCTAAACCCTGATTCAGAATTGAAATACAAAGCATTTCTGATGAATGTGTCAAAGGTGTGGGTTACAGTCCAGATGGTGGCGGCAGAACCAGGGTCACACAAAGACTTAGTACAACCGGGCCCATCAACTCCCACCCCACGAAGGCCTCATGTGGACCCCCCAGGGCGACTCTTGAGTGATATGTGGAAAAATACCCTCGTGAAAATTGTGAAGAGTGAACATTCCAAGGGGAAGAATACTCTAGGCAATGCCATGTTTGCACAGTTCACAAAAAAAGGAGTATGTCTACATTTGCAAGTTCTGTGTAATGCCACTTCACAAAGGGGAAAGTTTCCAGAAATATCACACCATCAAGCATTTCTAGGAACATTGGTAAGTGTTCTCCAAAAATTTTAGTTCAAAAAATTAATAAGGAGATTTTATATTAATTTTTAAAGTGAACAGTGCACAAGTTAGGGTAGTATGTTTAAAAATGCCGGTCCCCAGGGTGATATAAATATTTAAATCACCAGTCCGCAAAGTGTTAAGGAGGGAGCAGTGTGATGTGACACCTGAAAGCCAGAACAGTGGAGTCAGATCAGAAGTTGATTTTCTAGGCAGTGAGTATTAACAGAGCACGTTCCCATGAAGAAGAACCAGAATAAAAGAAAACACAGAAAGTGTGTGAACTGTTATAACTGAGTGTGAATGTAATAGTGACTTAAAATAAACTTAATCATAAATTTTAGAATCCACAATTATTAGTCTAAAACATCAATTTATTAACATTGAAAACGTTATTATATGAGGGTGCAAATAGAATGAACCTGTAAGTAACCGAATATGTAACAATTTGTCCATAAGTAACAGAAATTGTAACAATTTGTGATTATTGATACCTTCATTACAAAGTAACTGAATTCTGTTGTTGACTTCATTACCTTGGAAATGTTCTCAACGAAGTCTGTCAATGTCTGTTTGCTATTCATTGCTCGGTAACAAATCTTACCTGGTTAACACTTCACAGATGAATATTCAACTACAGAAGTTCCTTCTGAATTCTGTTACCCCTCCTCCGGGAGGGACTTTAAGCCGTGGGTCCCGTGTTGTAGATTTACCGCATGTAAAAGATCCTCATGTCTCTAGGAGACCTCTGAGAAAAATTAGGCAACAAGTTTCCCTCCCAAGTAGTTCCCAATGCCTCTGGTAGATGGAGGAATTATCAGGTACCAAGGGCCGACCTCATTGGCTGAATGGGGCTGATAGCATACACCAGTACCAGTAGGGTATGGCGACAGTAGAAATTAAAGGGGGACGCACAAAGGACCAATAACTGGTCTAAGTGCATGGGGAAACCCACCCCCTGTAATAATAATAATAATAATAATAATAATAATAATACTTATTCTTGGACTCTAAGAGTCCTCCAAAAGCTTCACTTTTATGACAGATGCCTGTTCTCTATTATTTGCTCACTGCCTCCATCTCTTTATTTTAAGTTCAAATCTCTCCATCTCTTTAATAACATTTCTTTAGTTGTTTTCGTAATTATCCATCTAGCAACCATGGTTAGGTTTCTTAATATATATTGTTTTACAGTTCCTATGCAAACCTATGTATGTGGTAGCTCTACTGTCTGTCTCTAAAGACAGAGGCAGGAGATTCCTCTGAAATGTTAATAACTACTTACATCACTGCATGATGTCAAAGCCCGTGAGATCACAATCTTCACCTCCTTTACATACTAGTGGATTTGTTTAACTTTTTAAATATTTATAAATGGTATTTGAAACTATTTGTGTTTTATAAATTAAATTAATAACAATCTAAATTAACATCATAATTGGTAATTAAAATGCAATTTTTATAGTATGAGTCCAAACAAGTGCCAGTTTTCGACCTCTGAACCTCTAACTGAGGACTGATGTTATTGATGTGCTGGCTGATCTGACTGGTCACAGGCCTCAGGAATGATGATAGATCAATGTGGAAGATTGGTGATGGGGAGATTAGTACTTAGAGAAAAGCCTGCCTCAGTGTCCCATTTTTGCCCCAGGTTCCAAATGTATTGTGACGTGTTGCGCAATGGTAATAGGCAGGTCAACATCCTCCCTCCCCTCCCCCCCGCCAGCGGTGACGCGCTGAGCGGAGCCGAAGTTAGCCGAGTCCCAGCATCCTGGTAGCTATGCAACGCGAGTCAACAGCGGTGACGTCACCACGGGATACCGCGGTTACTAGGCAACAGTAAACAACTCCGGGCAGCGTTGCAAGCAACACGGCGCCAGGCAACAAGGGTGCCTATTACGTGGCCTTATTCTGTGTTGTCTGGAACGAGGCTAGATAAGGAGCAGCGAAGGCAATTCACAGTTCTCAAGGCAGCTACCTACGAGTTAGTTCCGAGTTAGCCAGCAACCAGTCAGTTGTATTCTGGCATTTGCAATGTAGTATTTGTGATACTGCAGATAGCAGTAATTGTGAATCTGTAAATTGTGTGTTTGTAAGAGCGAATGTGAAATAAAATTTGCTATATCAAATACGGCGTGAAGTTATTTGTCATGTTATACACCCAACACGTGACAGTATTGTTCTAGAGATTAGTTGTGTGCATATAGTCCTTTAATTCCAGATGAAAGAAAAGACATCTGTGGTTGATATAAAATTGACAGTTACAGTTTTGGAACTGTCTTTTGTCAGAAATTGTTGGTGCTGTGAGGGTTCAATAAACTTTTCCAGAACACACAGTGGATTACCAAGCTGATGAAAAATTGAGTTGCATTTTGTATCAAAATTTGTTGTGACTGTTACATTCATCAGAAATGATACACTAATTTGAAATGCCAATATTTATTGGTGTATTGCATTTAAAAGTATTGTTTCTGATATCACAGCACTAATATACCACCAGAAATTTTATTTTTCTAAAAACATGTACAAAATGTGATACTTGTGCATCTGATATTTACAAAAAAAAAATAATTTTCTGTAACTGAAGTGTTTGTAGTAGTGTGCTGGCTGATCTAGCCAGTGACATATCAGTGTTTCTTTAATGATGCTCTCCATATCAGCTGTGATTTCTGCCTTCAGTTTTTCAGCCTGCTAGAGGATATCACTAACTGATAATAAAATCCTGTCACATTTTCTGACACCAGCTTAATTTATTTCACTGAAATGAGCATGTCTTTTTCTCTGATTGTCCTGTAAAATTAGCAGATACTGCGTTGATATTATATTGATGTAGTATACAATGATCACTGCCACATCTCTCTCAGACCACCATTTCACTGCACCATTTCTCATTTTGTAATGTACAGTTATGTTGTTAATGTATTCATGGCATTGTTAGGGGACATATTAGATGAACAAATAGCAATGTATTCAGGAGGTCCAAGGATTCAGTCTTGGCTTAGGTGCTCATGGTTCCCTGTTACTCCTTCAGGAAAACTGTTGAGTTAGTGCAATAAAATAGTTTACAGCAACTGCCTTATCCCTCCAATTTGACAGTATAACCTCACACTTGAATGAGACAAAGTGGAAAATTTTGCCTTACCTGTTTTATTGTTTACATCTCTTTGCTTCAGGTTCTATGATGTTGATGAAGGTTCTATCACTATTGATGGTGTTGACATTCGTGAGTTGGATCCTTCATGGTTGAGAGGAAATTGTATCGGGTTCATAAATCAAGAACCAGTCTTATTTGCTACCAGCATCATGGAGAACATCCGTTATGGGAAACCCGGTGCTTCAGATAATGAGGTACCACCATATCACTATGTCAGGCATCTTATTCATTTACATACATACTGCATCATTGATATGTCATGATAATCAGGTCTTTAGTGTATTGTGGTTTGTGTCATATTTGGTTTTCTAATTTAGGATTTCTGGGTTTCACAGCTTTGTCGACCATCTGTTATTTTGGAAATTGGATTTTTTTCCATCTTCAGGTGGAAATTTTTAGAGGCACCTACCTGCTTGGGTAGACACCTAGTGATCATAAGTGTAACATACCATCATAAGAATCCTTTAAAATGAGTTTTATAAATTTCAGTGACAAATAGTAAAAATATATGAGAACAATTCAACAATTCTCATATTCTTTATGAAACAATGAATTGTTTCTCACCAAGTAACAATTATAAGTGCACCCTAGCTCAAGCAGTTAGTCACTGGCTTCCCATTGTGGTGGCCCAGGTTCAATCCTGGGTCTGGTCAAGTGGGATTTGTGGTGGACAAAGTGGCGCTGGGGCAGGTTTTCTCCGAGTACTTCGGTTTCCCCTGCCAATCTGCATTCCACCAATTGTTCCACAGTCACCCTCACCTATCACCTGGGACTGGTACAGTACGCCAGAAGTGGCCGCAGTACAAGGGACTTAGTTCTTGTAAATTATTTTGGAGGCATGATATTGTTAAAATTATGATACAAGATCCAATTATATTCCCCATTAGTCTGACCTCCTCTCCCATCTGTGACATGTATAAATCCTAGATACATGTTCCTTATATTGTTGCCTGGCACCAAGTAACCATAGAACATTAGTGTTTTATTATGGAATAGAGTTTTGTTGAGAGTTGAGAGTTTGGTCTTCTGAGATATAAGACCATGAAGTCTATTGAAAGTCAGCTGATGTTTTGGATGGTTGAAGAGTAAGCCAAGCAAGAAATCAGCATGACACCGGCAGCAAGCAAAGCCAAGGTTCATCAAATCAAGATAGATGGGTTGTGTGTGACATAAGGAATTCATGGAAATGTAATAAATGTATACAAAATTTGTCTCTATGTTCCTGCCTCTTCACTGGAATACAGGGCAAAGTCATGACATAAAGATAGGCAACAGAACCTTTGAAAGTGTGGCACAGTTCAAATATTTGGGAATGACAGTAGCAAATCAAAATTTGATTCAGGAGGAAATTAAGAGGAGATTGAATTTAGTTAATGCTTGCTACCATTCAGTCCAGAGCCTTCTGTCTTCTCCTATGCAGTCTAAAAACGTTAAAATGAGAATATATATATGAAGGTATAATTTTGTCTCTGATTTTCTGTGGAAGTGAAACCGAGAACAGGGTGCTCTGGAGAATATTTGGACTGAAGACAGATTAACACTTAGCGGACTGGTGATTTAAATATTTAAATCACTCTGGGAACCAGCATTTTTAAACATACTACCCTAACTTGTGCACTGTTCACTTTAAAAATTAATATAAAATCTAATTAATTTTTTGGAGAACACTTACCAATGCTCCTAGAAGTGCTTGAGGGTGGATATTTCTGGAAACTTTCCCCTTTGTGAAGTGGCATTACACAGATCTTGCAAATGTAGACATACTCCTTTTTTTGTGAACTGTGCAAACACGGCATTGCCTAGAAGTATTCTTCCCCTTGGAATGTTCACTCTTCACAATTTTCACAAGGGTATTTTTCCACATATCACTCAAGAGTCGCCCTGGGGGTCCACATGAGGCCTTCGTGGGGTTGGAGTTGATGGGCCCGGTTGTACTAAGTCTTTGTGTGACCCTGGTTCTGCCGCCACCATCTAAACTATAGCCCAGGCCTTTGCCACATTCATCAGAAATGCTTTGTATTTCAATTTTGAATCAGGGTTTAGATTTTTTTTTTAGATTTTTTTGCTGTCCCCGCAATGTTACTACGCGCAATGTTATTACCCACATTATCGTCGGAGCTACTGTCACTTTTACTATCTGTGGCCACAATTCTTTGTTGTCACCCGTCACTGTTGCTGTCTGAATGACAATTAATCCATTACTACGCGTCTCACAAGGCAGGTCAGCTAGGTCATCGGAGGAGAATTTGTCCTTGATCCATTCTCCCCACTAGCTACTGGCTGATACAGTTTGAAGTAGGCAAAGCATTTTTCCTTTATAGTCAGTTAAGTAAACAGCGAGGTCAAGTTACTGACTACTAACTAAACATTCCAGAGTCTTATCACGCATCTGCAGGCGGTTGCGTGCAATGTAGGTTGCACCAGAGCGATGTATATAGTGTGTTGCAACTTATCGTGTTCTAAAAGCCTGTTAACACGCGAACGGTCCGCCATATTTAAGAGCGAAAAACCTTTTAAAGAGTGCGCGGTCCGCAAAGTGTTAAGTGATTGGAGGTTGGAGAAAACTGCTTAATGAGGAGCTTCATAACTTGTACTCTTTTGCAAGTAAAATTAGAATGATTAATTATAAAAGGTGAATTAATTACATCCAATCAGTCACACTGGACAGAATTAATTAACCTTTATGATATTGTTAGTGTGACAGACCAGAATGAAACAAAAAATAAAACTAGAATGATTAAGTCCAGAAAAATGAGATAGGCATGGCATGTAGCATGCATGGGGAAGGAACTTAATGGATATAGGATTTTGATGTAAAAGCCAGAAGGAAATAGACCACTAGAAAGATGCAGGTGGGATGATAATATTAAATCGGATCTTAGTGAGATAGGGTAAGGTGGTGTGGACTGGATTGATCTGGCTCAGGATAAGGACCAAGGGGAGGGCTCTTGTTAGTGCCATAATGAACCTTTGGGTTCCATAAATTGTTGGAATTCTTCAGTATCTGCATAACTGGCAGCTTCTCAAGAACGACATAGCTCCTTGGTGTTTAGTTAATTAGTAGCTCAGACTGTATAGTGTCAAATGGTAGGTTGATTAGTGAATAGTGAAATAGAGAAGATTTGAAAGGAAGCTATCATGGCCTAATGTCAGATATTATCCTGGCGTTTGCCTGGAGGATTGAGGAAAACCATGATAAGCTTTAGACAGGATACATGGTCTCTGGGTTATGATTTGAATCTGGAACCTCCAAAATACAAAACAGGAGTGCTGTCCGCTCAACAGCAGTGTGTGATGATGATTTCCCAAACATATTTGACATTGTATAGCATATGGAGTGGAAAACAGCATCATTAAAAAAAGTCTTAAAGTTATTTGTTCGGAATCTGGAAGTGTATGTTAGTCAGCATTGTTTTATAGAAATGAGACTGAATTTCATGTTTCCCCACACAGTGTTTGTAAGAATACTACAGAATTTTCCATTCTTTGAGAAAGTGGTTGTAGAAGTTTATTTCCTATTGCAGGTTATAGAGGCAGCAAAATTGGCAAATGCTGATGAATTTATCAAAAGCTTTCCAGAAGGTTATTCTACAGTGGTTGGTGAAAGGGGTGTGACAGTGTCAGGAGGGCAGAAACAGCGAATTGCTATTGCAAGAGCTCTTCTAAAAAACCCTAGAATCTTGATACTGGATGAAGCTACCAGGTATTGTCAGTAAGCTGGTCATTATTTTTGTTCCTGGAATAATTGTTGATTCCTTATTTTTCAAAGAAAGAACTGGGTTAAGTTATGCTATAGTAAAAGCTTTCTGAATTGGATCCTGGAACCTGCATGAAGTTGAAGTTGTGCTTAATTAAGCACTATACCATGAAGACTAGTGGATGTGAGTTGTCAACGTCACACCCTGGCCAGTTTATCTCTGGGGAAATCGCCCCTGGTACACATTGTGTGGGAGGCTGGGTGGACTCCAGATCCTGTCTGGACTGTGTTGAGAAGAGAAAAATCTTACACCTGTTGGCAATTGAACCCCGGCCTTGCAGCCTATAGCATATCACTATACATAATGAGCTATCTCAACCCCCAGTGGGAACCTCGGCTAATAAAGAAAATGAAATAGAAAGAAACCTGAACATGAGCATTGCCCAGTAACAATGTAGGCCATAGGTGATTAGTTTCAGGCTCCTGAGTGGCGACCTCTGAATCAGTTCATGTGGAATTGTAGTGGACAGAGTGGCACTGGGGCATTGTTTTCTCTGATTGCAGCAGGCTCTTGATTATCCATGGGCAGATGATTAAGCTTTTTGTATCTTACATGAGGGTAAACCTTAAATGGAGGTTCTGGAAAATACAGCCTAAAATTACTGTTGAAATTAGTTAAATCAACAATAAAGCACTGAATCTTGTTCATATAATTAAATAAAATTAAATAAGATTTGAGGTTTTCACAGTGGTGACTATGAAGAATGCCGTTGTCTGGGATGTAGTGCTGTGTAGATCTTGTGTGAACTGACATTTTGGAGGAACGTGTCGCCTCCATATTCAGGGTAGAAGAATCCATCAGCGAGGAATCAGCATGAGCAGGTGGCTGCAGACTGACTCACCAGTTGAAAACACCCAGCTATATGAGCACAGGAAGGGGGGAGAGTAGGCTACATGGGAAATCAATAGAGAGGAGAGGGGCAGTGCCTGTGGAGATGGGCCAGAAGGTAACAGATAAGAGCCGGATTAGGATTGTGTTAGGAGGAAGGAGGCAGGGCTAGCTGTTTGCCAGTGACTCAATAAACTTGGGGCTCAGCTGATGTGCATGTAGATCTGGCGTCATGTTCTGGAGGTTTCTTGAGGGAGCAGATTAGAGGCTTCCATGATTTGCTGAGACAAAAACCCATCCCTCTGTTCATATTGTTGGAATGGAGCTCAATCTCAATGGCCTCCCTAATGATGTGATCCATGTATTCATCTTGGTGCCAAGGATGGAGGTATTGTGAAATTGAATGTGATGTCCCAAGTCGATGCCGTGTTCAGCCACAGCTGACTTGTCTGGATGTTCAAGATGAATGTGCTGCTGATGCTCCTGGAACAGCCTGTCTGTCCAATGTAGACCTTGCTGCACTCACAGGGGATTCTGTATATACCTTATTGAAGCAGTGTTCTCTAGTGTCAGAAGTTGCAGAATGCCATGCTTTTGCCACAAAATGGAGAGCCTGTTGTACATTCAGCTTCAGATGTTGCTCTCCCTAATGCAGTAATAGTTTTCTGCACAAGTGCTTTCCTGTACTTGGACTTCACACAGCTTTTGATGCCTCCTTGACAGCACATTGTTCTGTAGGTGTCCACTGTCAAATTCAAAGTTAAATGATGATCTCAGAATATTCATTCCCTCACTGATGGTTGTTTAATCCACAAATGAGACAGTCTCTGATTAATTGTTGTTTCAGGTTCACATACATCTTGTATATGAGAGATGAATGAAAAATGTTTTGTAAATCTGAAATTTTCTTCTTTTTTTGTTTTATTTCATATTATTTTGCAGTGCTCTTGATGCTGAATCAGAGACGATTGTACAGAATTCACTGGATAATGTAAGCAGGGGTCGAACCGTCCTTGTTATCGCTCATAGACTAAGTACAGTTCAGAATGCAGATATGATTGTGGTCCTTCACAATGGCGTTATAGTGGAGGTAAGGTGAAGTACATTAAGAATTCAGTCTGTCTTGCCCTCAGTTAATAATAATCATCATCCATCTTTAGTTATTCAGCTTAAATACAGTTTGAGAAATTTTCAGAAAAGCCTGAGCAATTAATTTTGAAATTATTTTGTAATTTATAATTTAACTCATTGACTCCGCAAAAAAAAAAAGAATTACTGTTATTGAATATAGTTTTTAATTGCAGTTATTCAGGTTGTGAGGCCATGCCATAGTTTGGGTAGTTATATGGTGGCCTCTCACCACAGACGCCTAGGTTCAATCCCAAGTGACTTCATGTGAGATTCATGCTAAATGAAATGGCACTGGATACAATATTCTCCAAGTTTTCTCAGTTTTTCCTTGATAATGAAATTCTCTCTCACCTCATCTATCACTGTCCTCTGAGGTGTACAATGGCCTTCACCAGGCAGTACATTATTACAGCCTTCATCTGTAAATTGGGTCCTCATCTTGGTGGCAGCACTTGGCTGGTTAAAGGGAAGGAAGTTTAACTATTTTCATGTGTATTTGAAACTAAAGGTGATGATACCTTTATCAGTTCACTTAACATTTACAAAAGGGAGAAATTACAAATATTCTTTTATTGTAATAGTACATTGTCTTCTTCTGTCTTCCAAGTAATCAATTGACACCTGTTCCAACTTCATAACCATCTTCAAGTAGCCCATACCCCCTGTATCCCCATATTCCTTTGTCATATATTAAAGGACAAGTTATGGGAGTCTGTCACTAGCCATTCTGTTAGGGTGGTACAGAGCGGCCTCCGTAGTATAGGGGTAACGTTCCCACCTCATGACTCAAGGTACGCGGGTTCAAACCCGGCAGAAGTCGTGGAATTTTTAAGGGCGGAAAAATTCAGGGAACAAGTCCTCTGGGAGGGACTTTAAGCCATGGGTTCCATGTCGTAGATTTACGGTGTGTAAAAGATCCTCATGTCTCTAGGAGACCTCTGAGCAAAATTAGGCAACACATTTCCCGCCCAAGTAGTTTCCAATGCCTCTGGTAGATGGGGGAAATATCAGGTACCAAGGGCCGACCTCATTGGCTGAACAGGGCTGATAGCACACACCAGTACCAGTAGGGTATGGCAACAGTAGAAATTAAAGGGGGACGCACAATGGACCAATAACTGGTCTAAGTGCATGGGGAAACCCACCCCCTCTAATAATAATAATAATAATAATAATAATAGGGTGGTACAGCATTTTCATCTGTATGTTTCTATTCTTCCATCTATTGATAAATATTTAGTTCCTTTCATATGTATTCAACTATTGGTTTTATAATTTGTACATTCCTCAATATTTTTTAAATGTTTTGTTTCTTTTTAATTTTAGTAAGATATAGTTCCTCTTAATTCAAATTTTACTTCACATGTGAATTACTTTGTTTCCTTTAAAGTTTTTAAAGCTTGATTTGTAGTCAGTTTTATAAGAAATATCACTTCCAAATTAGTTGAAATGAAAAACATGTTCTGTAATCAAAGACAGATTTTTGCAGTAAGTTTGATGTTTTCTTTTAAGACATCACTTTTGTTTTTGTTGTTTTCACATTGTAAAGGTCCAGGAATGAAAAAGGAAATATTTTAGCTTTATGTCTGTGAAAAATTATGATCTTTTGCAATAAAAGACTGCATCTGGATCCTAAATAGAACCAGCTCAGTCCTATTTTGCAACCCAAACATAGTAACAGAATACATCATCCCTTTCAAATACCAAGACATTCCGTATTTCCGTATTGAGGGGTTGGGTTTCCACATGCACTTAGACCTATACCAAGACATTAGGAGGATACTGTAATTTGTGGAGTAATATTTTTTGGAACAATCCGGGATGGGAATAGTAGCCTTCCTGTTCTTGTTCTTCTTATTCTGTCATTCTTATCCTTATTCTTCCACTTTTTCTTCTCCTTCCATATTATGATTGGGACAATAAGTAAGGCTTTTGGCACCACAGTACATGGTCTGGCCTCTGCAGGTAATAGCTAACTCACTTCATCTACAAGTTGCTTATTCTTATGGAACCAGAACATTCAGCACCATATTCAGTGAACTCTGCCGCTCAAACATATTATTAGCCAGTCACGGGCCATTTCTCTGAAGTTCTTCCTAATACAGGGTTTTCTAAATTAGATCACACATTTAACATTCATAACTTCAAAATGATAAGAGTTATGAGGAATACATTGCATTAATAGTGAATGGGCATTCATTTGCAGTGCATTTTCCTGTTTCACAAATATTCTGTAAGGTGTCCTCTTGTAATGTAGACATTGTCCCATATGTACACCAGTACCTTCCATACATGAATGGGCACAACAGTCTTAACTGTGGCAACTGCAGCAGTCCCTGCTTGCAGTTCATGAAGAGTTCTTGACAATGAGGGCTGATACATTGATCCTTGTTGCAGTCCCACAGGAAATTGCTGCAGTCAAATCAGTTTGGGGAGAGGATCCACTCAGCTCGTGATATAACCCTACAAGAAAAAGTTTGTTGCAGTTAATTCAAGTGATCTTGAGGTGGAGTGGGGGCAATGGGAAATCTGCCATTTTACTTCATGTCTGTTTTCAGTGCTGTACATGGGCAGAAGGAAACTAACCTTGTGAATGGAAACTTCCATTATTTCTCAGCACAATACACTTTGTTTCGTATTTACAGCTTCATTAATTTTGTAGATATGATTGATCTGATAGACTCTGTATTACCCTCCCATTTACAGCACTGTGTCTCAAATCATATCTTCCATTAGTGTTTTCCAATCAAAATTATCCATGTATTTGTGTGTTAAATGCAGAGCAGCATCCTGAGATAATTCTTGTTTCTTTTCTGTTTTAGATGGGCACTCATGACTCACTGAAGGCACAAAGGGGGTTATATTGGAATTTGATTAGACAGCAAGAGGTGTCAGAGAATATATCTCGAGCCTTAGGGTAAACTAAAACACTATACAGCAAATAAAATATTGTAAGATTTGAGGCTTTCATGGCGGTGACTATGAAGAAAGCAGTATTCTGGGATTTGGCACCGTGTATATGTGGTGTTAACCAACGTTTCGGAGGAACGTATCGCCTCCATCTTCAGGGTAGAAGGAAAAATATAAGAAATCCACNCGGTTGTCACGGTCTCTTCCCTTGCGGATTTCTTATATTTTTCCTTCTACCCTGAAGATGGAGGCGATACGTTCCTCCGAAACATCGGTTAACACCACATATACACGGTGCCAAATCCCAGAAGACTGCTTTCTTCATAGTCACCGCCGTGAAAGCCTCAAATCTTATATAAATATATTAATTACATTTAGAAATAGGACGGTTATTTCTGTGAAGTCAATAAACCATTACACGAAAACGTCCATACAGACGATACTCGAAAAATTTACTGGCTGGATATGAAGTTCTCACAGTCGTATTGTAAGGCCGTATACCTCGGAGGAATCCCGCTGTTTCAGAGGTACATGTTCCCTACGTCTTCAGGGCGGAAGTGTGAACTAAGGTTAAACAACAGAAGCAATCCGATTCTATTAGTATCTTTCTTAGCTTATTCTTGGACCCTCAAAATTAAGGTGATATCTTCCTCCGAAACATCGAGCTGTATCCGAATTACACTGTGTCACAACCCAGAAGATCTAAAATAAAATCCCGATTAACTCTGAATCACCCACGTACTTTACTGGTTACCGGTACTGACCTAGCCGCCCCTCATTGCTTCCCATGTATCACACCACGTCTTTGTTGCTGTTTCGCAGTATTTATAGCTCAGTCAGTATAGTGATGATCTACGGGATGGAGGGCCAGGGTTCATTTCCCTGCAAGGGCAAGATATTTTCCTCTACACCACATGGTCCAGATCATCTCTGGGGTCCACCCAACTCCATATCCAATGGGCACCGGGGGTTATTCCCCAGGGATAAAGCGAGAAGGGCGTGAAGCTGACTCTCACCTCCATCTAGTGCCGAGGTCAAGAATGATGGAGTTATACCTCTACTACACCATATATGGTAATTAATTAAGCACGGGGATTTTTGTGACTTTAAAAGGCGATAAAGTAGCTGAGTAGAGTAAAATCAGACATAAAGGCTCGTCTTCTTCACTGAAGTGCTCAGTAAGTCCTGAAATGTGGGTAGACGTCACCAGAAGACACGAGAAAGGGGATCCCCCCGCATTGGAAATATTTTGGCTGTAAGCCGCACGACTGTCTTAACAGTAATAGGAGACAAAGGGAGAATCTAGGGACATGCAACAGCTGCATCTATGGAATCAACAGTAACAAGTACGCCATGAACGTTCTTACTGAGAATATATAACAACTTTTAATTAAGAAACTGGAAGACTGGAATCAGCTTAGGATTCAAAATGCGAAACCCTGTTGTATGGTTCGACGTGCAAGACAAAGTGGTAGGTGGACGGAGCAGTCTTGTCGTTCCATACAAACAAATTTAGATCTCTTACGAGTATGTCCGAAAATTACGTGGATCGCCGGTAGTTGTGTGTTTTACCGGATTGCCAGGAAATTGCATGTGACAAACAGGATGTGGAGTGGAGCGAAGTCCAATCGAAGTTAGAAAAACTCAAAGTCCAGTCTGGTAGATAGGATAGATTTATTAAGTGAGTCGAACAGACGACTTGCACCACTGGCTGCTGACTGTGACTGTTCTCAGGAAGGTTATATTCAAAGTAACATACATCATTGGTCCAGTCATAAGCATAAAAACTAATAACCTCTACCTCCCTCTCAATTAGTGAGAACTGCTCACTAAAGCTTTGTTTATACTGTCGAAGGGCTGTCAGGTTTATAGCTGTGTGTGTCTTTACTCTGCCACGAACCCAATACTAATAAGTTATCCTGTGGAATGTTAAGAGTTCGTGGCTATCGCTCGGTCTTGACAGCTTAAAATAACAGGAGGGCTTGGTGCCTGGTCCCTATGACACTCTAAAATAACAGAGGGCTCTGTTCCTTATGACAACCTTTCAGACACATTAAGTCGCTACAGAGGAGAAGAGAAGCTCCCACTGATTGGATTAGAGGACCCGCAGAGGAAAAGGACAGACCAATGCATGCACACAAAATGTTTTGGTTTGGAGAACGTTGTTATGGTATGGCGTGAGTGTTACACAATTCTTGTTTGTAACCAGCATTATTAATGGCTGAATTTTTATGTTATGCTATTACACCATTAACACTAATGATAATTAATACATTCATTCATTCATCAATGGCTCTACATCCCTTTGTCGGGCCCTGGCCTCTTCTTCAGTTTCGTAATCTTTTTTACACAGATGGTGGAACTCCTTGGACGAGTGATCAGCCCATCGCAAAGCTGATACCTACACACAGAACAACACAAACACAGAATAAACTCACACACAGACATTCATGTTTTGAGTCGGATTCGAACCCACGATCCCAATGTTCGAGCGAGCAAAGACACTTCCCGCCTTAGACCACGCGGCCACTGTGAACGGCAGTAATTAACATATACCGTTAAGCAATCCACTGTGAAATATGCAGACCTATCAAGGCGCGTCCACATTACTCGTGCTCGTGTGACTCGCTATGCTCGTGAGTAATGTGGACGATATGACAAGTCACGAAACAAGCAAATTTTTAATTTTTAATTTAAAAACTATAGCCAATAAATTAAAATACCGACTACAGCCTATACACACTACGAGTAAATATACGGATCCTCACGCGCCGAAGCCTGGCGAGCAACTGAAGTAGTGTGGACGAAGATTTACGAGCACAAGTAAAAGCCAGACGAGCACAAGCCTGGCGATCACGAGCACGAGTAATGCAGACCTTTCAGAATAAGGGGCTCGTAAAGAAAAAGGAGCCATTGAAGTGGCAGCGAGAGTCATGAGGATATCGCTGCTGTAGGACTCTGGCTAAAGAAGAATTACGGATACAGGACGATTTAAATACAAACCAGAGTAATAAAACAAACAGAATATAGCGTGCGTAATGAATGAGTGGAAACAGACCCTCTAATAAAGGTTTTATCAAAAGAAACCAAAGAATAGTAAAGAGAGATGGACTAATAAAATAGGAAATATAAAAATTTGGTCACAGTCTCTTGTGACAGAACATTTAACAGTAATAGTCTATGGTGATGATTATATTAATGAATTCTGATGGAAATAAAAAGAGAGCTGGAGAGAACATTTGTCTGCCCGAAATATATATTTCTCGGGCAGGATTCAGATTTTCATGGATTTCTTCCGTAACTGGCAAACTCCAGAATAATGATTAAATTAGGCTACGATCCTTTCCTTATACATACTTTTTTATTGCTAGAAGGGTGGGACTAAGTCCCTTGTACTGCGGCCACTTCTGGCCTATTGTACCAGCCCCAGATGATAGGTGAGGGTGATTGTGGGGCAATTGGTGGAATGAAGATTGGCAGGGGAAACCGAAGTACTCGGAGAAAATCTGCCCCATCGCCACTTTGTCCACCACAAATCCCACTTGACCAGACCCGGGCCGCCGCGGTGGGAAGCCAGCGACTAACCGCTTGAGCAATGGCGCGGCCTTTGTAAATACTTACATTTCTCATTTCGGTATTCAGTTATTTTCCTAACCTTCGAAGCTCTTGTATGTATATGTACACTTACATATGTATAGGTCTATAATATGAGTTCCGGAAACTATTACAGGCGTCAAGGCTTGAGTCTGGTTTGCGATACTTATGAAGAGATAGGAAACATTTAATATTATAAATATTAAATTCATCTTTTTGTGGTATAAACACCGTCAAAAAGCAGGATAATTACTTCTCTTTATCTTTTCAATTTCCTTAGTTATAGTAAACGAGAATCCCTTTTCCTTTAATAGGCGTAAGATAACTGTATTTCTCTTACGCCACGTAAGCGTGATAACAAGCCAGCACTCAACTACAACACAGTACAATTGTCAGTAAACAGTGAGCTGATTACAGCCGATGTTATCTTAAGGTAACCTTCATGAGAAGCCAATAGACGCTCAGATGATAAATAAATCCCCCGCCCTACTTGAAACCCGAAGGCTCATTACTGCCTTCACATAAGAACCACTCACTAGACCTACCCGAAATCACATCACATCACATCTCTGGACGCTACTTAAAAGAAAATTTCACATTAACATTCATTAACATCGAGATATCCCGGGTGATCTGTTCCCTTAAGATTTTCCGCCTAAATGTTTTATTTACTTATCATTTAATAATGTGTGCTGCATGTTCCACCTGCCCCTGTTCAGTGATTTAGGTTAGCTCTTTCCGACAGACCCAACAGAGTAGACGCCTTTCGCCCTTTTACCTGAAGATGGAAACAGATCCAGTTTCCGAAACGCTGTGTTCTTTGGAATACCGGACGATGGACATGTCCAAAAAAATCAATCATCCCACCCTAATAATACTGACTAAGGATATAAATTGTGTAATTTTCTATTTTCTCTCTCTCTGTGTTTAAAATATTGTTCTCGGTCATTTTTTCTGGAACACCCTCCAACACTGTTCCTCCCTTAGAGACCAAGTTTCACACCCATAGAAAAGGATAGGCAGAATTATAGTCCTTAACGTAATGTTTCACGTGTGTATGATGAGAGGAAATTCTTTTGTAAGTTGTCCTTAAGTCAGAATTGACACTTGGTCATAAATACAGCCACTTCTTGCCATCCGCTTCCTGAAGAAAGAAATATAACAACAACCACCGCAATACCTGCTGGTGAGGACAGAAAATTGAGCGTGTGTCCGGACCCAGAGTGTTGAGACCCGAAATAAAAAGAAGAGGGTGCTGTGACGTTGATGGATCGGATGAATGGCGTTTGCTACGGGGACTGCAGCACAGTATGGTTTTATGTAAACGCTCATCATGTGTTATTTGCCTCGAGCGGAGTCCCACACACAAAAAGGCCACTGCACCAAACCACACATCGAACGTCGAGGTATACATGCACGCATTCATTATGTTTCCTTGGATTTTTTACAGCTTTCAGTACTGTGCTGCCCTCCGCATT